ATTGTCAGATCACTTAGAGTTGAATGGAGTTTCTGACAATGACAATTTTTCTTACAGTTAAAGTTAGAGTTTATTCATTGGATGAAGACCTAAAGCCATCTCAAAAAGAAGTTACCTTAACCTTTATAGTGAGTATACCATTAATTTAAATCAAAATCTAACCTTGGTATTTCCATTATATGAATAGAGTTTTCATTATTATAAAACTAGTCATGTATGGCATTAATTTATTTAATATTAAGTAACAATAAACATTTATTCAATATCTACTATGGATACAACCTAGTAATTTTATACTTTTTTATGCTAATTGGCAATTTTTGTGTATAAATTAAATATCAGTTGAAATATATTTTGATAGCACCGTTAAAGAGGACCTTTTGCGACTCTGTCTCTAAAGTCAGTCGGTTAATCAGTTTGTATCCTCTTGCTATCTGTAAGGCATGGGCAGATGTGGTGAGGATTATAGAAGCATAAAATATGATACCTGGGAAAAGTGCATAGCATGCACTATATCCTCATGACAACCTTATAAGATTAATAAATTATTATTCCCCTTTTTATAGATGAAGAGGCTAAGAGTTAGAGAAATTAAATAACCACTGAGATCACAGCAGTAATAATTAGCTGAATCAGTATTCAAACCAAAGTCCTCTGTCTCCAGAGCCTCAGCACTTAGCCTCTCCATTTATTTGGGGGATTATAGGGTATCTCATTCCATGAACATCTGAGTTCAGAAGGCCAAACAAGCACACATAATGCAGCAAACCAAGTAAGGGATGATGTAGGATAAATAACAAGCCAGCATGAAAGGGAGGCAAAGCTGGTGATGATGTGCCCCCTCTCTGGAGAGAATTGTTAAGGACAAGGGTGAGTCTTAAGCTGGGTCTTAAAGGAAACCATGGAGAGGGTTTGATAAAGAGAAGCTGCGCAATGTCTTAGGTGGTCTTCAGAAAAGTAGAAGTCTTCAGCCATGGAGATGACCATGACAGTGGCTTTGCCCCAGAAGACTGGCCTGGAAACACTTTAGAGAGAGATAGTGGCAGCTTTGGTGTATTAGTTTACATTTGGGGAGTTGTGGTGGGCAGACAGAGTCAAGTGAACCTGTTGTAAAGGTGAGTTCCCCATGGATAGAAAAGACTAAACAGGTCAGAGGCAATTGTTGTGGCATGTCCAGATGTGTTCAGGTTTGATATCAAAGAGGACAGGGAGCCAAGGGAGCCTTTTGCCCATGGCAGTGACATTATGAAAACAGTGTTTGAGGAAGGTGATCCCATAAGTCCTGTTCAGGAAGAAGGGATATGGGGAAGAGATGTGCTAGGAGTTTATTTAACATGATCTTAAATATGAACTATGCTGCTTATGCCTGTTCAAAATATACCCCTGTACTTCGCTTAGAAAGTAGTTTGTGTTAACAAGCCTTACCTGTGCCAGTTATTGCCTCAATACTAGGCCAACACTGCATGGGCTTAGTTTCAACATTTCTTAGAATGTATTAGTGAATACTCCTCTAAGAACTGTAAATCACTTACTATGTTTATATTTGGCTTTTGTATTTACAGGTTATTAAAAAAAAAACATAAAACTTGTATTTTGTTTTTCTTTTCACTTAAAGGATCCAGAAGGGTCAGAAATTGCTGTGGTAGGGGAAAAAATTGTACTGGAATTATTACTTTTCCTGACTTCAAGATTCCATCTAATCCTAAGTATTTTAAATTATTTGTTGGTAAAGTTGTTTCTCTTAAAAGTAGTAGAGTTGCCTGGGGTTATTGAACTGTCTGATGGAGCTATTTGCATGTAACTGAAAGGTTCTGATGTAAAAAAAGTTTGGTTTTGGTTGTTCTTATCAGACCTAGTGAATGTCCTAACCTAAAGGAAGATGGTACCTGCTTGGGCTCTTTTGCTTTGAAGTAAGGGGCCTGGTATAATACTGCCAGCTGTAAGTACTAAGCTAGTCTGCTCTATTCTATTTAGCCAGCACCTAGCAAAGTCCAGGTAGCGACACTGTGGGGATATGGAACCTACCCCGCAAAGGCTGAGAGCATAATGGAAAAGACAAATAAAAGTACAAATAGAAGATGTCCACTTGCATGTGTTTAATACTCCTTAGAGGTTTTTGAATTTTCTCTGACATTTTAGTTCATATTCCTAGAACTTGGAAGGTATTTTGAAATATGATTTGGGTCTTTTATATTGCATAAATCCTTGAAAATGTAAGGGAACTGACATTTATGGATCTCCTACTATGTGCCAAGCACTTTGCTAGTTCCTTTATCATTCCAATTTTCCAGATAAGTAAACTAAGACTCAGAGAAATTTATAGGCCTATTCAAGGTCATACAACCATTAAAAAGGGGGTGGGGGTTGAAGTGGGAACCTAGATCTCTTTGAGGGTAAAGTTCATCCTTGCTCTTTGCTTCTACCATACTGTCCCTCTAAAAATAATTTCATGCTGGCCTAAAGTTGTAAGTTTAACCTGATCAAATGGTCCTAGAATGTAGTTTCTGGCAAACATGTAGAATACAGTATTCTATTTATTGATACAGGTATGATTAAGCTTCAAGATTGGTTTATCGACTGAATAATCAATGCTTTAAAAATATTTTTCTAGTTAAATGAGAGTCAATAATATGAAAATAAATTTTAGTGTGTTTATAATTTTTCTTAAAATGTTTTTGTTTATAATTTTAAAACATCTAACATTAGTTAGATTGTGCATAAATCTGAAGCTGTTGTCAGGGTCATGTAAGCATGGAGCTGTGGTCAAGGGCTTTGGAGCCAGAATGATCAAGTTTGAGTTCCAGCTTCACCAGCGACTAGCTGTGTGTCCTTGGGGCAAGTTACTAATACTTCACCTCTCCAGGCCTCAGTTTTCTGATGGTAAAATATAGAAAATGATATGATCTTTTCTACAGCATTTTTGTGTGGATTGAATGAGTTAACACACATAAAGCACTTAGAACAACACTTGCCCCATACTAAGTGCTCCTTTGAATATTAGCTACAATCACTGAGTGAATTAAAGATATATTATTTGATGATACCTAAAATTTTAAATGTGTTGCTTTCATAGATATGGTTTGTGGACAATTAAAGCAAAATACAAAGAGGACTTCACAGCAACAGGAACTGCATATTTTGAGATTAAAAGCCATGGTAATATCTTATAAATAACTGAGATTTTCAATGTGTACTTTAAAAAACTGCTCTCAATTGTGTAGAATAAAAAATCAGTAAATAATATAGAAGGGGCAGTGAGGTGTGGTGGACAGAGGTGGACTGGAAGTCAGAAGGCCAAGGACCTGGGGCTTTCCATCTGGTTCACCTCAATTCTGTCATTGAACTCTTTGGGGCTTGTTTTCTTCATCACAGTTCTACAGGGGGTTAAATCCAAGGAGAGGGTAAGATTAGATAATGTCATTGCAAGATCCATGGTTCTCTGACACTGTTAGAGCTGTTTAGTCTGATTTCCTTGTCCAGGTTCTTAACAAACACTTTGCCTAGACTGAGAACCAAACACTGCCTTTGAACCCAAGCACCATGCTCCTTCCCATTAAGCCCTAAAAATCAATGTGTTCGGAAAATTACAATGTTTGGAAAAAAGCATAGTATCCTTATTTTTGAAATATTCATACTAATTGCACAAATCTGTTCATCTCTCATAGGAACTTACTAGAACATTAACTCGTATGCTCTCATGTTAACTTGTTATTAAGCTTTTCAAACCATTTTTTCTTCCCATCAGGATGATGAGGAGGCAGAGAGGTATTTACAATTAGAAGAGGAAAGCAAGCACATGTAAAAATTTGAAACATTTGACATGCTTTAAAACCACAGTAACAAAATTCCCTCTGAAGCAATGAAACTCACCTTTGGAGTAGCTGATTAAGTCTCTTGGACTCTGTTCATAGTTACAACATCTTTGCTCTTTTTGCCTGTACCCTGGAGGGCAATTTCCTCTGACACAGAGAAAAGCAGCAGAGCGGTGGTTTGCCTTTCTGTTAATACATCCAGCCCCTCACCACCTGCTCTGGTCACCCTGGAGCCAAGTCTCCCTTCTCTCCAAAGGGTGACCTTCTCCTATTAGGTTAAGCAGCCTACAGACCAGTGCATGGCAAATAGAACTGGGAAGCCTAACATCACTTCGTGAATAGCCATAAGGAAAAGACATAGCCTCGTAGGAAGTCAAAAAGTAATTATTTGTGAATTATAGTTTCAAAGAGATGGAAAGTTTAAAACTTTCCTTTGTTCTAATTCTCATTTTTGTAAGAAAGTTATTTTCTACAGCTAATAACTAGAAGCTGTTTTTCCTAGATGAGAATTTGAGATTTACACTTGTGTTTTTGGCACTGAATGGAAGAGAATTGCTAAACATGAGAGAGATGCTAAAGAAACAAGAAATTTCCAGTTTAACAAACATTTACCAAACCCTTACTATATGAAAGGCATGGGGGCAAGGTTTACACAGATAAACAAGATCAGGACTTTGTCCTTATAGAGCTCGTACTCCGACAGCAACACAAGTGGTTTTAATCCCCTGTTGGAGCAGAAAGATGAGATCAATTCCTGACCAGAAGCTCTTGAGGCTTCTGCAGGAGTATTGATGACACTGATGTTGCTAATGTTTACCAGTCCCATTGTACCAAAAAGTTTCTTTCTTGAAATATAATTTCAACCATATCATTTTTCTGGCTTAGGTTTACATTTGGTGCAACCACACTTTTCTGTCTTAGTAGAACCAGAAAATTATTTCATTAGCCATAAAAACTTTGAGGACTTTAAGAGTACTATAAAAGCTAGGTAAGAAAGTTTTTATTTTCAGACTCATTTAGCCCCTGAAGGGCAAACAGGGTTCATTTCAAGAGTCAAATGTGACTGGATTGGTAGTACTTGCCTGGGGCCCTATGAGAAAGATTTTCAGGCTTAATGTAAAAAATACTGTGATTAATACTATCTGCCATTGCTGTGGGAAGTGGGTCCAAGGAGATTTGCCTGAAGTCTATTTGCTGATTCCAACCTTGCCATTGTTTTGTTATTTCATAGAAATCTGAAGATTGAATATCATAGTGACAATTCAGGTGACTACACTACTCAAGTTTAAAAATTTAACATGAAAACATTCACTTATTTCTTATTTGTGACCTAGTTAATATTAAGAGATCACACAACTTAATTACCAAAAGCAGTTATAGAATTGATTTAGTTGGCTCAGAAATTGCGCTTGGCAGATGAGCTATGGAAAATTGCTTGCTAAAGGGGACACTGTAGTTGAAACACATGAATGGGCATCTTACCAGCCTCCTGTAAACAGTGCTTAACTGGTTCACAGAGTGGTCAGGCTTTTCCAGAATGGCCACAGCCATCATCCAGACTTAGATTAATAACTGCATGCAAAATGACCAAAGAATGGATGAATGGTTTGTCCTTCTCCAAATAAAGAGGTACATAGGAACAGAGTGGGTGCCCACAAAGTTCACAGCATTACCTTGTACTTGCCAAATTCTTAACGCAATGCATGTTATTCCATTAGGTGGATTCTTCAAAGAAACCAAAGTAACTGATGTCAAATATGTCCTCTTTCCCTACAAACTGAATTTGGTTGCTACACCTCTTTTCCTGAAGCCCAAGATTCCATATTCCATCAAGGTTAGATGATTAGAAAATCTAATATGGCTGTATTTTCCCATTTACTGGTAGATTGCTTAGTCTGTGGAAGAACAGAGGAAAAGGATTTTAGAGAGATCTTGTTCCTTTGTGACCTCCAATGTAGACACTTAAATGGAGAAGAGACTGGGTGTGGGTAGGTGGTGAGGAATAGGACAAGGCAGCCACCAAGGCTGTGGTAGAAAACAAGAACCCAGATCCAGGCCTGGTAATAATTTCACCCAATCAGTGGCTTATGTACAAGTACATAGAAAAGTGCCCTGCCTTTATTAAACATTCAATAACTATACATTGAATTGAATTAAATGTAATTCATATCATATATGCTTGAAGTAATAAAAATACAACCTTAAGACAACCCTATTTGACTACTGAGTTAAATCCTACCGAATTTGTGCACAGGCACAAAGGAGGGAATTATTTTAGGATTTTATTGTTGTAAAAGAAAGTTAACTATTAAAATGAATTTGGTCCAACAGGCGCAAGTGAAGGATGTCTTTGACCGTTTTGTAGGAGGGATTGCAGTAACCCTGAAAGCAAAAACAGTTAACAAAACTCAGGAGAAAACAGATGTGGATCTAAGGAAAAGTACAACAGATTATCATAATGGAGTAGCTTCATTTGTGGTTAACATTCCTACTGATGTGACAGCACTAGAGTTTCAGGTGAGCAGAATTCTCATTTGTTGTATTTTCTTTTTTTTTTTTTTTTGAGACAGAGTCTCACTTTGTTGCCCAGGCTAGAGTGAGTGCCATGGCGTCAGCCTAGCTCACAGCAACCTCAAACTCCTGGGCTCAAGCAATCCTTCTGCCTCAGCCTTCCGAGTAGCTGGGACTACAGGCATGCGCCACCATGCCTGGCTATCTATATATTTTTAGTTGTCCAATTAATTTCTTTCTAATTTTAGTAGAGACGGGGTCTCGCTCTTGCTCAGGCTGGTCTCGAACTCCTGAGCTCAAACAATCCGCCCACCTCGGCCTCCCAGAGAGCTAGGATTACAGGCGTGAGCCACCGCGCCCGGCCCGCTCTAAAGTTTTTTTCCCAGAAGTTATGTTGGAATAATCCAGTATCTGCTACATTATCTCATTTTTGCTAATTGAAGTAGAACAACTGAAAAGTTATGCTGGCATTGCCAGCCTTTACTTTCCAGAGGGGTAAAGCAAATCGGGCAAATTAACCCACATTCATTTAGCATGATCTTAACCTAAAGGAAATAGGTATCCTTGATGTCCATTCTCTATAGTTAAAGAGTCATCAGTTATTAATCGTCTTATACATTTTACTCTCTATGAGAATAGCTGATGCAGCAGTTAAATGTATGGCTTTCATTAAATTCTTACAAAAGCTAGGTCTGATGAACTTTAGGATAATAATAGTAGCCAACACTAATTGAACCCTTATTATGTGCCAAGCTTTGTTGAAGCCCCATACTTAGATTTTTTCATTGAATATTCACATCAATCACATGCAGTAGGTACTCTTATTATCCTCATTTTCCAGATGAGAACGTGGAGGCACAGAAAAATTAAGTAGCATGGCTGGGCACAGTAGCTCACTCCTGTAATCCTAATACTCTGGGAGGCCAAGGCGAGGGGACTGCTTGAGCTCAGGAGTTCAAGACCAGCTTGAGCAAGAGCAAGACCCTGTCTCTACTAAAAATAGAAAAAATTAGGCAGGCGTGGTGGCACACACCTGTAGTCCCAGCTGCTAGAGACGCTGAGGCAAGGGGATTGCCTGAGCCCAGAAGGTTGAGGTTGCTGTGAGCTAGGCTGATGCCGTGGCACTCTAGCTTGGGTGACAGAGCAAGACTGTGTCAAAGAAAAGAAGAAAAGAAAAGAACAGGAGAGGGGAGAAGAGGGGAGGGGGAGAGGAGGGGAGGAGAGGGGAAGGGAGGGGTAGGGAAAGGAAGGGAAGGGAAGGGAAGGGAAGGGAAGGAAAGGGAAGAAGGAAGAAAAAGAAAAATTAGGATTAGGTAACATGCCTAATGCCATGGGGTAGTAAGTAGCATAGACAGAACTTAAACCTGGGACAGACTGATACCAGAGCCCACTGCACTGTTAGCCACCATGCCCTACTGGGCACTACCTCTTTTGTTTGGTATATTGATATTTACACCAAGTATCCTATCCAGATTATGTGGAAGATGGACCAGAAAGAACCAATTTTTATATACCACTTAAATTTCAGGTACACCAAAGTTAGAGATGGTACTAGGAGTTACAAATACTGTGCTTTAATAATAATGATGATAATGTTAATAAAGCATCCCCCCACCCCATTTCAGCAGGTACTTGCCAAAACAGCAGTTTTAGAAGGTATCACATCAAGAACAATGGTTTTATAATCAGAGACTGGGCTTGGGTCTTGGCTTAACTATCTATAGCTATAAGATGTTAGCTAAGTTACTGAATCTACCCAAGCCTCAGTTTCTTCTTCTGCAAAATGGGGACAATTTTTCTCTGCCTCTCCGAGTTATGAGAATTAAATGAGATCATGCTGGTAAGGCATTTAGCTCAGGAGGAAAATAAATGGTAACTTATAATAATTGATTCTTTTAAAACATCTTGTTGGCAAAGCCACATTCTGACCTAGGCTGGACAGAAATTACAGTCATCATTTTAACATGGCAAAGTGAGTTTCTGAAAACTTAGTTATCTTGCCAAATCCAAATGACTGGGAGAGGAACAGACCTTCTGTTCTATGGACCAATGGCTGTATCACCTCATGATACTACCTCTTGGCTTCAGCCTTGGCTCTACCCCTTAACAGCTTTCACTACCCTATACCTCCATTTCCTCATCTCTAAATGACAGACAAGGACAATATCAATTCTAAAGTCCCCTTCAGTAGTTTTTGAAAAAATAAAAGGGCGAACTAGATAAATGTTCTTGCTCTTGTATACACCCACTCAGGCTTCATACTGATGCACCTTGACTGCCTTAGCTAAGGGAGTGTCCAGTGGAGAATGACCATAAGAGAGATTTGAGACTAATCATATCATATGAAAGAAAACCTAGTCTAAAGAAGGAAGCCCCAGGGTTGCTTAATGGAGTGTCTTATTGGGCTGCTATAACAAAGTACCTTTGATGAACTTTAGGATAATAACTTGATGAACTTTAGGATAATAATAGTAGCCAACACTAATTGAACGCTTATTATGTGCCAAGCTTTGTTGAAGCCCCATACTTAGATTTTTTCATTGAATATTCACATCAATCACATGCAGTAGGTACTCTTATTATCCCCATTTTCCAGATGAGAACATGGAGGCACAGAAAAATTAATTTCTTTTGCCTTTCCATGAGTGGCTTATAAACAGCAGAAATTTATTTCTCACAGTTCTGGAAGCTGGAAATCCTAGATCAGGGTGTCAGCATGGTCAGGTTCTAGTGAAGGTCTTCTTGCAGGTTGCAGACTGCTGACTTCTCATTTTATCCTCAAATGGTAGAAAGAGAGTGGATGAGATAACTCTCAGGAGTCCCTTAAGTAAGGGCACTATTCCTATTCATGAGGGCTCCACCCTCATGCACTAATTACTTCCCAAAGTCCCCACCTCCTAATACCATCACACTGGGGCTTAAGATTTCATCATATGGATTTTGAGAAGACATTAACATTCACCCATAACATGGAGACCTAACATGTAAGACTTAAGTAGTCATGATGATTATCTTCAAATATTTGAGGAACTTGTGATTATGTGACTTTTTCTGCACAAGAGGTACCCCAGGGGTACCAATAAGGGTATCAGTAATAGGAGTTAGATTTTGGTTTAGAAGAGTTCAAGAAGAATTTTCCAGCAATTAGAGCTCTCTGAAGTGGAATAGGCTGCCTGGGAGGGAAGAAGTTGGACCAGAGCCTCTAAGTCTAGTCCTGAGACTTTGAATCTGTACCTGGTTAAGAGCAGCTGTATTATCACCTCAGCATCCCTATTCAAACACCCTGTGGTCCAGAAGTGCTGTTATAATGGAGCCCATTGAAGTGACAAGAGCTGCCAGCAGAGAGCTGCATGGATTACCATTGGCCCCAGGTGTTCCAGCCCTTTTTTTCAGTGCTGTATCCTGGCATGTGAGCTGAGGAATAAGATTTCTTACAAAGATGCAGACATGGGCAGGATAGGTATGTATAAAAACTGTTACTCCATGTGCAGAGGGTATCAAGTGGAATTTGTGCTGCCATGGGAAGAATTACTTCCAAAGTTGGTTTAATGTACAAAAGATGAAGAGCAAACTCCTGCAAATTGGCTTGAAAAGGCAGAGAAGACAGTGGCTGTAATATTAGTTTGGCATCACTAGTCCCAGCTTTACCATTAACTCACTGTGTAGCAGTTGCAGGTCTTCATTTATCTTCTAAGAGCTAATTTGTAAAATGGAATCTTTGACTCAATGATTTGGTGATACAGTAGTCCGCCCATATTCACAGTTTTGCCTTTCATGGTTTCAGTTATTCAAGGTCAGCTGCGGTCTAAAAATGCTAAATGGGAAATTCCAGAAATACACAATTTGTAAGTTTTAAATTGAGCACCATTCTGAGTAGCATGATGAAATCTTGTCCCACTCTGCCACACAGGGGACGTGAATCATCCCTTTTTCCAGAGTATACACACCGTCAACGCTACCCAACCATGAGTCACTTAGTAACCGCCTCAGTTATCAGATCGATTGTGGTGGTATCCCAGAGCTTGCATTCAAGTAACCCTTATTTTACTTAATAATGGCCCCACAATACAAGAGTAGTGATGCTGGCATATTGTTATAATGATTCTATGTTATTGTTAGTTATTGTTGTTAATCTTCTACAGTGCTTAATTTGTAAATTAAACCTTATCATAGGTATGTATGTATAGGAAAAACATATAGGGTTTGGTACTATCCACAGTTTCAGACACCAACTGTTGGTCTTGAAATGTATCCCCCAAGGATAAGGGGGGGGCTAGTGTATTTATTTTGTGCATACTTTATTGGCCACATATTGCATGACACTTAAAATCTTGCATAAAGATAATAGTATACTTTTAAAAATCAAAATATTATTCTTGATTTCACCACAAAGCATAGCCAACAAGAAATATCAGAAATAAAATGTATCTCAATAAGCATACATGGAAAAGACTTCTCTTTAGTTCAGTTTATGTGCAAAAGAGTAATGAGTATAATTTATTAAAATTCATTTAATTTTATTCCCCTACTTTTCAACTTATTTTATTTGGTTTTATTTGCATTCTATTTAGCTACACTACTAGGGAGATCATGCAAGTTAACTTAAGACAGAGGATAACTAAGAAAAATGTTACAATTTTAGTTTAAACTTGTACTTAAAAAGTAAATTACTTGTTTAAAAGGATCTAACGACTTTCTTATGCCTTTCCATGAAAAGGCCTATAAGAAAATAAAAGCATATAAACAAGTAAGTTCTGAAAAATATTTTGAAACATAAAAATGTCTTAAATCCTCAATAATGGTACTATTATAGGGAAACCCTTCTATAACTTATGAATGTATATATTTACAATATTTTTTAAAAATAAAAAGAATTTAACCTACGGGTTTTTTTTTTTATTTCAGCATATTATGGAGGTACAGATGTTTAAGTTACGTATGTTGCCATTGCCCCCCGCTCCCCCCTCCAACCTACAGGTTTTTTAAAAAAAAGCCAACAAAAAATTTAGAGGGAAATCAATTAATATTTAAAAGCAAACATTTAAAAGCCTTTGTTACTCCTCCCCATCTCCAAGTTTAACTACTGTTAACAGATTTCTACATAAATGGGATCACACTCCATAAATGGGATACATTTACTTCCCATATGCGCTTTTTTTTGGAGACAGGGTCTCATCGTCTTGCCTGGGCTAGAGTGTCATGGCGTCAGCCTAGCTCACAGCAACCTCAAACTCCTGAGCTCAAGCGATCCTCCTGCCTCAGCCTCCCAGGTAGCTGGGACTACAGGCACGCGCCACCATGCCCGGCTAATTTTTTCTATTTTTTTTAGTTGTTTGGCCAATTTCTTTCTATTTTTAGTAGAGACGGGGTCTTACTCTTGCAATCGCCCCACCTCGGCCTCCCAGAGTGCTAGGATTACAGGCATGAGCCACTGCCCCCGGCCTCCATATGCGCTTTTTTTAACGTTTGTGAAATATCATGAACTTATTTTCACATCAGTATAAAGAAAGTTGCCTCATTCTTTTTAATGATTATCCAGTATTTGATATAATGATATTGACATCCCTTAATTTATTTAACCATTTATACATTAATGGGTATATTAGTTTCCTAGGGCTGCCATAACAAATTACCATAAACTTAGTGACTTAACACAAAGGAAATTTATTCTATTATAGTTCTGGAGGCAAAAAGTCCAAAATCAAGGTATCAATAGGGTCATGCTCCCTCTAAAGTCTCTGTACTAGAGAATTCTTCCTTACCTTTTAAAGTGACTGGCAGCACCTGGTGTTCCTTAGTGTTCTTTGGCTTGTAGACACATCACTCCAGTCTACCTCTATCTTCACATGGCCATCTTCCCTATGTTTCTGTGTGTCTTCTTCTGTTCTGTCTCTTATAAGGACACCTTATACCTTACATCCAATTAAGACACCTTATAAGGATTTAGGTTCCACTCTAATCCAGGATGATCTCATTTGAGATCATTAACTTAGTTACATCTACAAAAACCTTATTTCCAAATAAGGTCCCATTCAAAGATACCAGGGGATTTGGACATATCTTTTGGGGGCCACTATTCAACCAACTACAATGAGTATATAAGTCATTTTCACATTTTTAGTATTAGAAACTATCCTGCCAAAAAACCCACCATTTTGCATCTCTCTTTATGTATATGTGTATTTCTGTAAGATAGATGCCATTGTTTTAATTCAATCTGCTGTAACAAACATACCATAGGCTGGATAGATTAAACAACAAACATGTATTTCTCACAGTTCTGCAGACCGAGAAGGCTAAGATCAAGGTGCTGGCAGGTTCAGTGTCCTGCGAGGGCCCTCTTCCTTGTTTGCAGACCACCATCTTCTCATGTAGCCTCATACAACAGAGAGAGAGAACGGGCCAGCTCTCTTCTTTTTATAAGGCACTAATCCCAACTTGGAGGCTCCACCTTCATGATCTGATTACCTCCCAAAGGATTCCCCTCCAAATACCATCACATTAGGGCATCAACATATGAATTTTGGGGGGGACACAAACATTCAGTCTGTATAGCACATTATCATAAGGTAGAACTACTGAATCAAAGAGAGACCCACCTATAAATTTGACATATATTTAAAAATTGGTGATACTATTATATTAATAATTTTTACTCCCACCAACTGTATTTAAAGCCTGCTTCTCAAGCCCTCTTGCCAAAATAGAATATTATCCATCTCTAATTTTTGCCAATCTGTTGAGTCAAAAGTAGTATTTCATTTTATTTAGGAAATTAATTATTCCGTGTGAGTTGATGACCATTACATATGTTTATATATATTCACTGGCCATTGATATTCCCCCTATGATTGAACTCATATGCTTTGACTAATTTTTCTTTGGCTTGTCTTTCTTTTGCCTATTTTTTCATTATGGAAACCAACACTTTTCTGTTATAAAAGTTGCAAATATGTGTGTTAAGTACACATACACACAAATACACACATATACACAAACACACACATATAAACACACACATACAAAATGTGATAAATACATTGCAAGTATTTTCTCCCAATCCATCGATTTTTTTAACCTTGTTTATGGTGTCAGGAATGTTTAATAATTAAGTGGTTAAATTGCCTAGAACTTCCGGGATTGGTGTTTTGGTTAGGAAAGCCTTTCTCATCCCAAGGTTACAAAAATATTTCCCTGTACTGTTAATTTGTGTTCTCTTTTCTTCTTGATTAGATTTGCCAAAGTTTTCTCTATTGTATTGGTCTTTTTGGAGAAACAACTTTTAGTTTTGTTGATTGCATCTTTAATTGTTTTTTACTTTATTGATTTCTCCCTATATATTCCATTAATCTCTTCAATAAGTTTTTGTTGTCCTTTTTTTAACTTTTCAAGTTAATTACATTTATTTTCAATATGAAATTGTTGATTAGGATGTCTCCTGTATTTCTAACAGTTTTTGATTTGTATATTTCAAAGCTATGTTCCTAAGTGCATAAAGGCTAAAGACTGTTGCATCTTTTTAGTAAACTGTAATTTTTATCTGCATAAAATTTCTCTTGACCCATTTAATGTTGTGAATTCTATTTATCCAAAGTTATTATTTCTCTACTAGCTTACTTTTTGTCAGTATTAGCCTAGTATATAGTTTTCTATTCCTTTATTTTCAACCTGTCTATATCATTCGATGGTGTCATACACCTTTTATTTATTTATTTATTTATTAATTTTTTGGTTTTTGTTTCTAGGGACCTGCATGTATACCTTTTAAATCCATTTATTGCTGGGATTTTTTTGTTCTTTACCTATTTCAAAAATGTCTAACTTTTATTAGGCTATTTTAAACCCATTCAAGTTTGTTGAGTTTGTACTTATTCCTGTTCTCTTATATTTTCTGTTGAATAT